TTGCTTGTCGGGAGAGATGAGAAGGCTGAGATTATTATGTTATGATGATAAAATTATCAACACCAGAAATAGAACTATTATGTTATGGGAAAGGAACTGGGATGGATGTTGGTTTCAATTAGTATCTGACCTTGAGCAGAGGGTAGCTTTTAAGATGTCAGAGCCCACATGTATTTTTACACACAGTTATGTTTACAGAGCCCTCACGCAAAGCGGATGTTTATAAATATTTAGAACTATTTTATGTCTTCCTTTAAAGACAGGAAGTAGCGAAGTTAAGATAAGTTGCTGCCTACATCTTACTTTAAGAATCAAATTTGGCAACTGATTAGTTGTTGAAACTGTTTGTTACCTAAATATAATATCATTAAAGTCTTGCAAGTTTTAGCAACAAACATATCATATGAACTCACAACGATGAGTGAACAGAGAGATTTATAACCTGAATGTTGACCCCAGTTTATGTCAGTCCACTTGAACACAGCTGTACAGCATCTGGGGTTTCAATGTCCAACAACTCGGGAAGTTGGGAGAGTATTAACATGGGGCTACAGGCTGCGGAGGCCAGCTGATTAAGCAAGGAAACCATTCTGCAGTTCTAGAGGGAAAACAAATGTCCAAAGAGTGGTCAAGGGTATGAGTGTTATGTGGATCTCCTTGTACAACCATCTTCTGTGTGTGTGTGTGTGTGTGTGTGTGTGTGTGTGTCTGTGCTAGTATCTCTTTCCTATACAGCACATATTCTTGTGGGACACTAAGTCATCCTGTAATCTGAGCTTGATGTCTCAGGTGTTCACCATACCAGTTTTCGTTCCAATGTGATTATATGTTTTACATGCCACACGGGGAGTATTTTGTCAGTTCTCCCCATTGTTGCGAGCATTGACTGAGGAAGATTCCATTCTAATGTGAAGTGAGCCTTATGCTACACAACTTTTCTGCGTGCAGTCTCTAATGACTGCTGACTGGATTGCCACTTTGAATGCCTTCTTTACAAAAGTTTAAATCATTCCCTTTCAATTCTTCATCATTTCGTTTGTTGTTTTGTTTGGAGACAGGATCTCATTATGTAGCTCTGGCTGGCCTGGAACTCACTATGCTTCAAAGTTCTGTCTCTGACACCTGAATGCTGGCTTCACAGGTATATGCCATCATGGGTGGCTCTTTCTCTGTTCAAAACGTGGACCATCTTGGGCTGGAGTGGCTCAGTGGTGAAGAGCACTTGTTCTTGCAGAAAAGTTGAATTCAGTTCCCAGTACTCACACGGTGTGGCTCACATCTGCCTGTAACTCCAGTTACAGGGGACCTGGTACCATTTTCTGGTCCCTGAACACACCTGTATACACATTATCTTTTAAATTTTCAATTGTTCTCGACATTTATATATCCAACACATAAACTTCTTAAAAGATACACAGTTTTCAACTATTTTCTTCCACTTGGTAGCTGACCTTTACACATATTTTGTTCCACTTGGTGGCTGACATTTTGCACTTTCTCAGTGGCACCTTTACAGATGCAGCAGTTTAATCTTGATAGCATTTGCATTTTCTTTTAGTAAGACTAAGACTGTTTCTTTCTAAAAGCACTGAAGTTTAAAAATCCTACGTGTAAGCACTGTAACTTGAGTTACGTTTGTATGTAAGCATCTAATCAAAGTCCAACTTTACTCTTTTTTTAATTAGGACATTGAGTTTATTTGTTTTTACTAGAACATTGCAAGGTAATGGGTTTCACTGTGACACTGTCATACATGAACGTAATTACATTCACCTCTCCCCTTCACTGTGACTCAAGATAGAAAAAACATGGGAAAAGGCCACCCCTTATACAGGACTCTAAATATATCAGTGTTTGAGAATCAAGAATTTCCTTACAACTAACAAAAACATGCTGTGACTATTACATGCATATACACAACATTCTTAGTCAATAGATATGTTTGAAATAAGCATGTTAAAGTAGTAGGAACCACACTTGAAGGAAAGCATATGTCACCCTGGAGTTTAACGTCTTTCATCTGTAAACTGTTTCTAAGTACCGAACAAACAAGAGTAGATGTGTTTACAGTTAAAACATAGGCAGAGGACTTCCTGGTGACTCATCAGTGTGTACACCTGACACAATGCACCCCAGAAAACACCTTATGTTCTTATTTACTAAAGAAATTTCCTGAGATAGAATCATTCAAAAATTTGAAATGAGCAATGTAACTCAAAAAAATTGAGCATTGTAAACTCAAAAATCATATAATGAGGATCTAGAGAGATGGCTCACAGGTTAAGATATCTGCTCTCGCAGAGGACCCAAGTTCATTTCCCAGCACCCACCTCGTGGCTCACAACCATCTTTGACTCCAGTTCATAAGGATTTGATATGCTGTCTCCTGATCTCCACTAGAACTTCATGCACCTAGTGCACAGACATAGATATAGGCAACACACACATATGCTTAAAATAGAAATACATAAATCTAAAAACATAAGTCAGTCTTTAAGAAACACATAAGTATTATAGACACACATACTGTACCTCTTTGGTCAGGCCATGCTTCACAGTTGGGAGGGTAACATTGCTGGAATTAAGCCCCATCTGCACCCCACTACCCATGCTTAAATTCATATTTTGTTAAAAAAATTAATTCCAAATCTGTTTGGTATTGACTCATTCTGAATGTTTTTTCTCCAGTGAAAATCAAGACCAGCCAACTGTGTGAAGAGGTGTCTCTTGCTGCCACTGAAGACTGATAAATCTCCCTTATACCCTACCACCAAACCCCGTATGCTTCCCTGAGAGACCCCTTCCTGTGTTCATGCTTTAGTCTTGTATTTCCTTCTAGATTCTACAGATGAACAGGAGAGACTTGTCTGAGTGTGATCTCATCCATCTCCCTGTAGTAATTGACTCTCATTAGATTATATATGTACTGTGTTTTATAAAAACATAGTTAATATTAGGGTCTTGATTTTCTCATTTTATATTTTTCAGCTTTCAAAGAAATGTCCAGTAGTCAAATGATTCTGCTTCTTCCATTGCATGTTTCAGGTCAGAAGAGGAGCATATACTTGTTTCAACAACCAAGGTGCCTCTAGCACTAGGTACTTGCATTAGGCAAGGTCCTCTGAAGAATCAGAACTGATCTAATATATATTGTAAAGGGCATTGTGATAGCTAACTTCAACTTTCAGCTTGGTATGACCTAGAATCACCTGGGAAGAAAGTCTGAACAAAGGATGTACAGTATTGGCTGACTCAGTATCAGTTGGGTCATCCAACAGGAATGGGAGTCTGAATGCTGGAGAGGTAGAGAACTAGGCCATGTCCAATCCAGGAAACCCAGATGCCTTCAGTTAGGTGCTGAAAGCCTGGAAACCTAGAGAGTCAGTGGTACTGAATCAGGTTATGAGATGGAAGAATCTGGAGTTCATCCCTACCACTGCACCCATGTAACCATCACCACCATCACCATCATTACCACTAGCTCTACCACTGCCATCATGAGAAAAGCAATAGATGCATTTGTTCATAAAGAAGAAACTTTTAGGTGTAGCTAGCTCCTTTAATTTTGCTTTTCCATGCAGCAAGTTGGTGGAATTTATGTACACATTGAAGGTGTATTCCTTTGGCCCTGTAACTCTTGTCCCACAGAACACTCGGCTGTTGAAACACTCACACAAACACAGGTGTATTTCACCAGTTCTACTGATCCAGTCAAGCCAGTCATCGAGACCAGTCATCACAATACCTTATGCCCTGATGAGGTAACAAGGGATAAGTAACCAGATTAATAGGTAGAGGACTTGAATAGGTGTTTATTCAGAAGACATGCAAATGGATGACAGATGTATGAGAACATATTCAACATCGCTGATCACTCTGCTATTTTTCAAGGCCTCTGCCAAATACAAGTCAAGTCAAACAAGCAGTAACTTGTAGCTTAGGGGAGGTGGTAGACAAGCTTGATCTTGGGGTTTCATCACTGACTATACAGGTACTTTCATCATCTATTAAGCAATTCAATTTTGGTTTTGGATATGAATTTAGATCATAGGCAGGGTTTTCTGTGAAAGAATATTTTCTGTAAGATTATCTCATGTGAAATATTGTCAAGACAATCTAATTTTTCCATATCCAAGAAATTTCCTTTTCAGAGATTGGTGTGGAATGGAGACAAGATTTTTTTCTTTTGTTGTTTATTCTCTCTCTCTCTCTCTCTCTCTCTCTCTCTCTCTCTCTCTCTCCCCCTCCCTCCTCCT